ATTGCGCTTCAGTGAACGGGCCTGATTTTTGCCCATGTTGTTTGCAACCAGGTGTAGCAGAGCTTGAGCTAAAGAATGGTTCTGAAAAAGCTGCAGAATGGCTCTACGTATATCACTCACTGCAATGAACAGTGGACTGACATACTCTGATACCAACAACTCACTATAACTTTCGAATAACAAAATCCATCTGTTGACTGTGCTGAAATCCATCACTGATTCCTCGGTTCACTTCGAATCAAACTTGGACAGGTCCATCATAAACGGAGCAAACGTGTGCATGCTCTCGATGGCGACGGCATTCGCATACTTATCAGATGCGATGAAAATGATGTCTGCAACGTGGCATCACTAAGCCATTCTCCACAGCTCAGATAACTTCGAACTCGAATCCGCCTCTGTAACCGAGAGCACGCCAGTAAGTGTACCAGCAGCCAGAGCGAGGAGAGAGCAGTTTTGACACCACAGATTTGTACGCCATCTCGAAGTCAGCGGCGCACAAACCAGCCCGTGCCGACAGGTCAGGTATGTTGACACGCCACCGTCCTCCAAACTCGGCCCAGGCGCCTGATAACAACGCCTGATAAAGGGCAGGTGCGGTGCGCCTACTGCGGACGGCGGTCCACTGGACGGCGGTCCACTGGCGGCAGTCAGACGGCGGTCCACTGACAGCAGTCAGACGGCGGTCCACTGACGGCAGTCAGACGGCGGTCCCCTGACGGCAGTCAGATGGCGGTCCACTGACGGCAGTCAGACGGCGGTCCACAGGCGGCAGTCAGACGGCGGTCCACTGACGGCAGTCAGACGGCGGTCCACTGGCGGCAGTCAGACGGCGGTCCACTGACAGCAGTCAGACGGCGGTCCACTGACGGCAGTCAGACGGCGGTCCCCTGACGGCAGTCAGACGGCGGTCCACTGACGGCAGTCAGACGGCGGTCCACAGGCGGCAGTCAGACGGCGGTCCACTGACGGCAGTCAGACGGCGGTCAGACGGCGGTCCACTGACGGCAGTCAGACGGCGGTCCACTGGAATTAGTTATGACAAAGAAAGGTATTTATTGAAGAAAAGCCCACATTATTGAATGTGCTGCAACGTCTATATCACCAAGGCGATGGCGTCTTTTCCCCGATCACGATACCTAAAAACAAAGCAAAACTATTGATATCGGGAAGCTCCGAAGCCTTTTAAGGTCTATATTTCGTTCACTTTGAGGTCGATTATCAGGATATAGCCATGAAATGCTTGGCCCATCACTTACCGCACCTCTAGGTAACTCCTGCCGCTACCCCACCTTATTATGCAGCGATCTCGCCTTTCTTTGCCCAGCTGCTGACCGCCATAGTGAACTGCTTTGATCTAAATGTGTTTTCTTTTCCTGTACGCTTTTCATATTGGAAGGCATGGGATGCGCTGATACGATTTGACAATAATTGCCAAAGCCCTGTTGTAGTTGTAGGTATATGATTTTAAATTGTGTCACCAATTACAAAATGGAATTATTGAAACAAGTTGTGTCACATTATGTGTTAAATTGTGCTTAAATTGTGCCACCCGAAAAACATTGCATCACCTATGAGCCGTGGCCACTTTTCTGCCATGTCCCTGAATGTGAAAGAGAGGAGCGGTGAAACACAAAGCAATGTCGGTTGTATCAGGGCGTCCCATAAGCGGTGTATATTGACGCAGTGTACGGAGCGGTTTATTGCGCTGCTTCCAAAAGTAATAATAAAATGTAAAAAAATTGTAAAATTTAAATGTAAAACACAGCAGCTGTATACCTCAAAACCAGCAAAAATGTATTTGCTTCATGCAGTGCACGCCTTCTATCGACAGTGCTGCGGTGTGTCGGACGCACGCGCCCCTGCATGGGCCGGTGATGCTGTGCCGGCGAACGTGCCGGCAGCGGTACTGAGGCTCAATACAGTGAACTCACGTTGCTCTGGCCTTAACATTTCAATAGGAAGGATAACGAACTGCCCCTCACAACCTAAGCTGCGAAAGGAAACGACGCATTGGTAGCTGGATTGTGGCATCACTCCTCGTCACCTTCTACCTCCCACGACAATAAAAATTACACCGATACCCCATTTACCCAACTTCTACTTCGGTGCGCGGTGCACATGCCCATTTCCTGCACCCTTGGCATTGTGACCACTGCTCACATAAATGTGAATATCTCATTCCGCATAGAAAACAAAGGAAATCCATGCCAGTTTTCTTTGGCGCCTGAGCCGCTCTCCTCCCAGCCTTATTTTCCTCCCTCTTCCTTTTCCCTTTCTCCTGGTCGATTTCTTGTGGTGCTTGTTTAGCCTGTTTCAAACGGGAGCATCTGTCAAGATTTCACACCTTGTATTTCTTTCCTTTGACGCTCGGTTTCGTGCTCGAGGCTGTGCTTTCGGGTAGGGCTTGATTGTCTCCGGTGTAATGACAATGCCGGAGGTCCCTGGCCGATCACCGATCGATAGCTGGTTGCTGTCAACGTGCCGACATGCATCCTGTTCTATAGAGCCCGCTGCTCCGCTGGGCGCCAGCTGACTGGAGCCTGTCGGTGCTCCGCTGGGCGCCAGCTGACTGGAGCCTGTCGGTGCTCCGCTGGGCGCCAGCTGACTGGAGCCTGTCGGTGCTCCGCTGGGCGCCAGCTGACTGGAGCCTGTCGGTGCTCCGCTGGGCGCCAGCTGACTGGAGCCTGTCGGTGCTCCGCTGGGCGCCAGCTGACTGGAGCCTGTCGCTGCTCCGCTGGGCGCCAGCTGACTGGAGCCTGTCGGTGCTCCGCTGGGCGCCAGCTGACTGGAGCCTGTCGGTGCTCCGCTGGGCGCCAGCTGACTGGAGCCTGTCGGTGCTCCGCTGGGCGCCAGCTGACTGGAGCCTGTCGGTGCTCCGCTGGGCGCCAGCTGACTGGAGCCTGTCGCTGCTCCGCTGGGCGCCAGCTGACTGGAGCCTGTCGGTGCTCCGCTGGGCGCAAGCTGACCTTATTCTGGAAAGGATCAGTTAACGACTATGGCAAATCGATCGGTGAAGGCTCAATACTGGTCGGTCCGGTGGGCTCGGAGCATGGGATTTCTGCAGCCAATTTTGGTGGCTTAAGGCGTTTTTGATGATGCTTGACCCGACCCGAGGTCAGTTTGTTCTGGAAAGGATAGAGTATCATCCATGACAAATTGATTGATGAAGGTTTCATACCGATCGGTGTTTCATGTTGATGGACCCCAAAGGTTCGAATCACGGAGTTGTCTGCAGCCAGTTTTGGTGGTTTTGGGCGTTTTTTGTGGTGATTTTTGACGTGACCCATGGTCAGCTGACAGGAGCTCTCGAAACATGACTCGAAACATGGTAGAATATTGGCAATAGATTGGTGGAGTTTTCATGCTGATCGGAACCATAGGATCGGAAAATGGAGCTGTCTGCAGCCCTGTTTTTCGGTTTTGGATATTTTGTGACCTTTCATCTGACCCAAGACCATCATATTCCAGACGAAATGAGTTATCGACCATGCGGCATCAAATGGCGACGGTTTAATCTCGATGGGTGCCATAGGCTCGGAGCATGGGTTAACAACTGATTTAAGTCAGCCGTTTAGTCCCTCTCGAGGTGCAGGCTAGTTATCGCGCACTTCCCACTTCCGGTGCGTTCCCCGGCGGGCGGCGGAATGGCACTGGGATCGGTGTCCAGCCTACCAACCTCGCCGCCCGGACCTCAACCACCATAAGGGTTCGGGAAAGGGCGCGTGCCGGCCAACCCGCCAAAAGGATGGGGGTGACAAGCACCAATACGCCGCCAACACATCTCGGCGCCAGGCGACTGGCTTTCCACGGTCTGAGAACATGCGTTGACAAAAATCGATCCCTAGGTCACCAATCAGCCATTCACTAGAGGCCAACAGTTTGCCGCTCCTGGCAAGTCTTTGTGAGATTTGCTCTAGGTCTACACTGCTTTGTCCAGGTCGGGGAAGGCCGTGAGGTGTGTAAGTGCCTCACGCCTGTTGGAGCTTTCATCGTTGCCAACTTTGCTGCTGTGCTTATCCCTGGCCCTCCCCATGCAAGTGTATGGCTAGCTGCCGTGCAACCTCGAAATCCAGCGAAAGACCTCAAGGAAAGCATCTTAAGTCTGAAGTGAGGCTGGGAAACCAGGGGATGGGTGTGGATTTCCACCCAATTTTTAGGATTTCAAGACAATGCTGACCGATGCTGACAAATTCTAGCCGCGTTCAAGATCGTGTTGAGAAACGAAGGACTACCTCGCCCGGCCGGGCTTTTCACAACAAAGCATCGACAGGCTATGATCTGTTTTACAAGGACACAGATGCTGAGCAAATACTAACGCGGCAGACATCGGCGGCCATTTCTGCAAGTGATGATTGACATGAACATAGTATTACCATATAAATTTAATAGAGTACATCGAGCACATCGAGATAGGCGCCATATCATGTAACGATAACGATAACTTGGACACTCTATGAACGCCGGTGCGGCCAGCGCCATCACCACCAGTGCGCCGTCGCCACTCACGACCATAGAGTGGAGGTCGTCTGCCGCTGCTGGCCTGACCTGTACACTGATCAGTTCGGTTACTTGGTCGGCAGGCCTTTGGTATGTCCATGAGAAAGTCACGTCTTGGCAGGGCTGGATGGATAGCCAGATCAACCCCGGCACTCGGTCAGCAGTTGAGCACTTCTGGGAGAGCAGCACCACGCCGGCCCGGCCTGCGCATCTGTGTGCCGAGATCTATGGCATGCTCGGGCCGGCGGCGTCGGTGGCGATCTGATCCGCCGCGCGCGCCCCCAGGTCGCCGTCGGTTCTCGGACCTAATTTGACACGATGCGTATGTCTGGGGCGCCGGATACCCACAGCGTCCATGTGCCGAGGTCTACGGGCGAGAAGTGGCCCCATCACATCGTGTGGCCAGTGAATGTAACAATGTTCTGCAGACTAAGCCTGCAAGGCAGTCATATGGCATCCCTCATATGGCATCCTTGGTGTCGCAAAAGTGTGCCTCTTCGTCACTCGACTGGCACGGTGGTGAGGTTAAAACCGGTACTTCGCATCATACTGGTGAGGTAGTCCTCCATGGTACCGAAGCCCACCGGTACCACCACGTCGCCGCCGGCCAAAAAGGCAGCGAAGAAGCCGTACGTGCCGTGCGTCATGACCGTGTGGTTGCACTGGGCGAGCAGCGCCATGTCGCGGCCAGCCGCGCCGGCGCCCGTCGAGCCGGCCAACACCACGTCGGCAGCTGCCAGATGACGGCCGCACCAGGCCAGGTCGTCGCTCGACACGACGAACACGGGCCGGTGGTAGCGTTGCCGACACAGCTCGAGCGCACGACGGAGGTACACATCGCCCACTAGGCTGCCGTTGTACATGGACCGCACCTGCTGGGCGTAGTCGGTGCGGCGCACGTGCACGGCCACGTAGGTGCACGGGTCGGCCGGCGTGCCGCGGCAGACGGCAGCGGTGGCGGTCCGCAGCCGGCGCTGCGCGCTTTCCTCCACCTCGGGCCGCCAGCGCAGCTGCTGCAGCAGCTCGCGCCGGTACGGGTGGAATTCGGTCAACGAGCACGGGTGGTCGAGCAGGAGGAGGGGCCCGTCCGACAGTCCCGTGCCGCTCTCGCCGTAGTGGAAGTAGCTGATGCTCAAGAAGTTCTCCTGCTGGCGGGCGCAGGCCTCTGGCAACACCGGCAGCTGCAGGCCACTGAACAGGGCCGACAACTCGCTGTGCATCTCCGGCAGCGTCCAGGCGGGCCGGGCGCTTACTTCGCGGCGCTGCAGCGCCCAGAACGACGAGTACTGACACAGCTTGTTGCCCAGACGACCGGTCGGGTCCATTGTGACAAAGCGGCCACGCGGACAGCCTGGCCACGGCTCGGCGGTCGGTAGGAGCGCCTGCCAGACGGCGGGCAGCTTCAGCGGTGAGTGCGGGTGGCTGTTCAGCGACACCACCACCAGCATCGTCAGCAGTCCCACCACGGCGCCCAGCGCCAGCCGACGCACCACTGGCCGCATCGTGGGGGCAGCAGCCTCGCGGTCCCCGCGGCGTCCCCACCACCAATGCCCGCGGCGCCCGGCGCGCTCTGTCCTCATAGTGCACACTCGCGCATGCGCAGGGCTGCCAAAACTCAAACTTATCTATGTCACCTGAACGTGATGCCGCCAGTCCCTGCTGCGCCTGTGATATAGATATTTAGCCAGTTTATCGGCAGATTTCGCACGCTGCCAAGAGATTTATGAATCGTTTATGCGTAACGTCTCTTACGAAATTTGTTACCGCTTAATACCGCGGGCTAAATGCAAGCAGAGAGGGGGTCGACTCACGCTTTTATGGAATGTTAGGAACGCAGGTCGGTGGCTCGATCACGGCGTCCAGTTCAGTCCGAGCATTGGAGGCAGGAATGTTGCAACTGATCTTAATGTTGTGAGAGAAAGAAAGAGAGAAAGGAGAGGAGAAGAGAGAAGAGAAGAGAAGAGAAGAGAAGAGAAGAGAAGAGAAGAGAAGAGAAGAGAAGAGAAGAGAAGAAGAGAAGAGAGAGAAAGAGAGAGAGAGAGAGGAGAGAGAGATAGAGAGAGAGAGAGAGGAGAGAGAGAGAGAGAGGAGACGAGAGAGAGAGAGAGAGAGAGAGAGAGAGAGAGAGAGAGAGAGAGAGAGAGAGAGAGAGAGAGAGAGAGAGAGAGAGAAAGAGGGACATGTATATATAAAGGGAGTCGTGCTTAAACGAGCTTTAAGCCTTATCCCTTTAATTGTAATGCGGCTTGATCCTCGAAAGAACTTCCAGTCAATGAACTCCGTCCGTAGGTAGTTGCGACCGGTTGCGACCAACCTTGGTCGCATATGCATAGTGCGGTTTTGAATATTCAAATGGCTCTTCATCTGAATCTTACAGCATACATTCGTTTTGATGGGTCTGTCAACGATAAGCAAACATTCTGTAAAAAAATACTTTACCGCATTGTTCAGGAGAGTTCAGGTTGATGCCCGTGGAGTCAAAACTAAAACGCGGATATTGAAAGGCAAGTTATTCTGGGTCCGCGATTCAATCGAGAACCATAATTTGACAGAGATGATCGTTCATTTCGGTAAATAAATATTTCAAGTCGCAAAATTGCGTTGACCGGGTAACTAAAACATGCATAACACTGTCAGATGCTGCCAACACCATTGTATGATGATCGCTTGTTTAAACAAATGTCTTTTACAGCGGCTCTCCTCCTGCCTGCGGCAATAGGCTTACTTTGGCAAACTCATCTGCCCCATAGCACGCTCCTGTCCCGGACGTTTCCTTCCCCTGCCGGTGGCCCTCAAACTGATTTGCGCGAAGTTGTCACCTTCTGGTGAGGCTTGCCATACACATTAGACAGACCGGACGGCCTTGAAGTTTTCAGCACATATTTTAAACGTTAGCTGTGTCTTGCACATTGCAGTTCTTTCAGCGTAAAGTTTTGTTAAAGTGTTGCATTTCGGACTCTTGGTTGATTTTAACTTCAGACTTGGCGTGCTAGGGCCGTCGCGCCCTGCATCACTCTTGATCCACCTCTGGCTAAGGCAGTACCGACCAAATGGACGTACCCTCTTTACTGAAGCAAAATGTTCCATGCGCCAGACGACCGGAAATGGCAGCTGCTCAGATGAGTACTGTTCAAAAAGGCGCAATGTCTGTTTTGGAGTACCCTTCTCATCAGGATGCTTGCATAGTGTTTTTTTTTACCCGGCTGGTTACGTAAAAACAAACTTGCGCTCCAGTCTACCAAGCTGCAGTGTATCGCCATCTTTTGGTGGGATTATCGGCTGAAGAGAGGATGCTACTGTCGCGCCATGGCGTAGCGTCGTTCGACGCAGCTGTCGAGAGCGCGAGAAGAACTCGCCCCCGCTCGTTGGGAAGTGAGCGGCACTGTTCTCCGCACGTGCACCGGTCGGAGAGCGCGAGAAGAGCTCGCCCCCGCTCGTTGGGAAGTGAGCGGCACTGTTCTCCGCACGTGCACCGGTCGGAGAGCGGAGAAGTGCATGCGGAGCGCAACAGACCTTTTACGTCATCGCCTGAGTCGTCTCGACGCGGTCACGGGCTTGCCGAGCCGAAGGGCTGCTGGCGCCGCGAGCGGTACGGTTCGCGGTCGCCTGACCGCGAGGTGAGCGGTGCTAGCCGTGGCTCTGGGCGGTCGCAGGAGCGGTCGGCTGCCACCTAGCGGAAGCCCCGCCAACCAGCATCTTCACGCCGCTCGCCAGATTGTGGCGCGTCGTGCTGATCCGCCGCGTGGGCGGCAGCGCGCGACGCGTGATGACGGCGGCTTGTCTTCAGATGGTTACGGCAGACGGCTGCCTACACCCACTGAAGAACGCCAATGGGAGCCTCAGTACTGGTCCTGGTGGGGCTTCGGGCGCTTGAAAAGGCATTGCCCAAACGCGCAGTCGGGCAGGTTGATAAGGGAGTGGTAAGGCCCCTACGAAACACGTTAACCACACAGACGGCTCTCGTCAACCCATTCGGTGGCCATATACCCGTCTGGCAAGAACTCAGCAAGTGGTTTCCTCCTTTTGCGACCCTCTGACAAGGAGTCCTTTTTTCGCACCGTCGTTCTCGCCGCTTTTTTGTTCGCGCTAGCTCCAAACGCACCTTTTCGCTTAATTTGTGTTGTTCTCTTCTCGCTCCCCCAATATGGGTAAGCAAAGCAAGCGTAAGGACGACACTGACACGGACTCGAACTCGGCCTCTGACATCGCCAATTCCCTGGGTAAAGAAGATGGAAGTGCCGCCAGCCCCGCTTAGCCCACCACTTCGGCTGATAACCTCCGCGCACGCTAGTTCCATTCCATTGGTTCATGCACTTCCGTCGCGGTGTCTGGACAGCACCCGTCTCCACCCAACGTCCCTGGTTCCGACCCTCACTCATCTTTGACCACCCCGGTGCCTGCTCGCTCTGATGCTGACCCTCGCTCGACAGTGACCAGTGTTCGCCCGCCCTCTGATCCAATTCTGGATCCTCTCGGCTCCTACGTTGTTGTTCAGTCTTGTGATGAGAACGTGTCATTCCGGAAGATCAACGTTTTCTTGCCATCAAAACAAATCAAGGCTATCTGCGGTTCATGCGAACTCAAAATTGAAGCACCGGCAAACGGATCACTCATCATTAAAACATCCACTCGCGCACAAACCAAGGCCCTACTTAAAACAAATGAATTTTGTGGCAAACAAGTAAAAGTCCCCCTGCACCATGCCAGAAACACCAGCAAAGGCACCATCTTCGCGCCTGAGCTCCCTTTCATCACGGAGGACGAGATCCTGGCGGAGCTCAGAGACGAGCAAGTTTGCCATGACCGCCGGCTGACGACTTTCAGAGATGGTCAGCGTCGCCACACCAGCCTGCTCGTCATCACTTTTGCTACCACCCGACTTCCAGACACGCTCACCGCTGGTTACCTTCGTTATAAAGTAAGAGCGCTTATTCCGAATCCAATCAGGTGTTTCAAATGCCAGCGGTTCGGACGCGGCAGCAAGTACTGCAAACAGAGTGTCAGATGCCTGAAGTGCGGCGAGACTCCTCACGAGAGGTCTGCCTGCACATCACCCCAGAAATGTCTGAGCTGTGGAAGTGCTCATCTCGCCGCCAACTCTCCTCAGTGTCCCACATGGAAAAAAGAAGAATAAATTTGTTCTGAAAAGACATAGACAGGTGTGTCGTAAACCGACGCATGGCGCATTATTAAATCCAAAATGTCGTCCCAGTCTAGCAAAACATATGCACAAGTAGCAAAAGCCACGATGGCCACATGTGGAACACAGATAGACTCCATTACCCATCCGCCTCCCCTGAAGCTTCTTACCCCCCGCCCCTCGGTCTCAGCTGAATCGACTACACAGACCCAGACGACAAATGCCGTTGAGTCGTCCCTGGCTGGGCACTCGGATGCCCAGACGCCCGTTCACTCCCTTCCCAAGGCTGGCCGGTGGTCCAGCCCGCCGGCTGTGCGCGATACACGTGCGGCTCAAGCCGTTCGGCGTTCCAGCCCTCCGGCTATGAACAGTCGGCAGCCCGGTCCCTCTGGCCGCCACAAGAACGTCACCTCCCCTCCCCCCCCCCCCCCCCCCCCCCCCCCCACCCCACCACAATACCTGTCGAAACACGCCCAAACGAAGACCGTCGGTCCGGTCTATCAGTGAGGGTAGCGATGGAACGGCCTCGGTCTGTCTCGCTCGGGCGATTCCCATCAACCGGTGGGGATGGGTCACTTCACCATTAAACGTCCTTCATCTTACAGTGCAATAGATGCGATCCGATTTCAGAATGATCTGAAATAAAAGCACTTATTGCCGTATCAGCTCCAATCATCATTACCGTACAGGAAACATGGTATCGTCCCACCGACACATATAACTTTAAAATGCCAAATTACTCTTTGCATCGCTGTGACACCGCGGACGGTGAGCGTCGCCAAGGTGGCGCGGCGCTGTACACTAGTCAAGAATTAACACACACGCCACTCACTCTTAACACACCTCTTTCAGGCTGTTGCATGTTCAGTGTAGCTGCATGGCCGTACCATCGATATGTGCTCAGTATACATTACACCAAATTATAGCAAACGTAGCTCTTACGGCAACTTGACCAACTCGTTGCTCCATTTCAAAACCCTTTTCTCATCCTCGGCGATCTCAACGCTCACAGTCCTACTTCGAGTGACGGCACCCAAGCCTTGATCGCCGAGGACATTTGGTAGAAGATTTTATTGATACACACAAGTTAGTCCTGCTAAACAAAGGCAATATTACTCATCACCACCTACCCACTGGAGCGGAAACAGCCACTGACTTGCCATTGTGTTCTCCCTCAATAGGGAGCTTTCTTTGATTGGACTATTGAGAGAGATGTCCACACCAGCGACCATTTTCCAATTAAATTTATACCACTTTTGATATTGCTGCTGGCACAGTTCCTCGATGTACACTCCGTCGGAATCTGTGAAAGGCAGACTTGACCAAAATTTCAGGAACTTTGTATTACCATGTTTCATCGCT